TAATTTTTTTTAATTTTCTATTTTTAAATTTTCTTTTTGCGGTGCACGTGGCGAGGTTTGCACATAGCGAGTTCGATCCCCGGAGAGGAGCTTTTTTAATTTTCTTTTTAACTGTCGCTGTTTTGCTTTTAACACTCAGAACTAATTGTTCATGTGCATATTGCACACACCAGACCAACCGTGCCACTGAGCACTGTGCATTTTGCACACACCAGACCAATCGTGCCATTGAGCACTGTACATTTTGCACAAACCAGACCAATCGTGCCATTGAGCACTGTGCATTTTGCACACACCAGACCAATTGTGCTATTGAGCACTGTGCATTTTGCACATAAAGTCAAGCTAAGAACACGTATATTGTGAACAATGTGTGAATCTATTTTATCAGGAGAATGTCACCAAGGTGACATCATTTTCAATGGAGATCCAACTTGAAGCATGCACAATTCAAACAGCAATTTATTTTTATTCTTGAAACAACTTTACCGGAACACAATATGCAACTTTCATGTAGTTCTTCCAAGCATGCCCCGGCCAGCTTCTTTTAAAAGCTTTTCTTGTTGCCCATGAGATGTGATGAATGTTTCTTTCTTTTCTTCTTGCATAATATATGATCATAGTACTTCATAAGTTTGAAGGCAAAGGCCAGAACTGATACAGTCTGACAATTCTCTGGTGTGTCCTGCTCTTAAATGGGATCTATGCTTGTTGCCCTTGCAGGGGAAAGTGTTCCCGTGACCAAAACCCCCCTCCCCAATCCCCCCCCGAGTGAGAGTCAGCATCCACCCATGTACATTTCCGAGGAACACAAGCGCCACACCCTGTTCTGTGGTACCCAGGTCATCCAGACCAGGTACTATGGAGGGGAGAAAGTTAAGGCTGTGGTTATCCAGACAGGTGAGACGACATGTGTACATTATTGCTTTCCTCAAGGCCATTACCAGGTGGTGTTGTGTCCATGTGTGCTCAGTTGACTAGTTTCAGGAAGTGTTTAATTTCAGTATTATTGGTGTCATCTCATTTGTAAGGTCACAGACTCCTTTCATAAAGGACTATGAGTTTACTTTATAGAACAATGCAATGATGCACATCAGAATTTATAGGACCAGTCCCATATGAGAACAGCGAGTGTCTATGGGGGATTCCACTTTAATAAAAAAACTCTCATCTGTCAAGTTTTTTTGTCTCCAGTCTTTTATTCATGATCTTGTTTTGTTAAAAAATGCAGGATTTGCCACTGCCAAGGGAGAACTGGTACGGTCTATCCTGTTTCCAAAACCAATGGGGTTCAAATTCTATCAGGATGCCATGCGGTTTTTAGCAGTGCTGGCAGGACTGGCAGTTATTGGCTTCTCATACAGGTTTGTGAAATGTTCATCTACATGTAAGGGGTAAGTCGTCATATATCGATAATGATTCTGTTTAAGCTTCACATTATTAGAAACAGCAACAACTTATCTTCTAAGAACACACAATGTCTTATATATATACATGTAGAAAGTTGTATTATAGATATATATATAAGTCACATAGTTACATTGTCACATTAGTAACAGTAACAAATTACAAATGTATTTGTAATTTGTTGGTGATGTGGCAAGGATGGCATTCAATACTGAAAATTGTTCTGTTTTGCTCCTCAGTGTTTATGTGATGATCTCATTCAAGGCATCAGTAAAAGACATTATTGTTCGTGCGCTGGACATGATCACAGTAATTGTGCCTCCTGCCCTGCCTGCTGCTATGACAGTTGGATCTGTGTATGCACAACGGCGGCTGAAGAAACAGGGAATTTTTTGTATCAATCCACCCAGAATCAACGTCTCAGGGAAAACAAAGCTGGTGTGCTTTGATAAGGTAAGGTTAAGATGCATGATTCTAAATGTGAATTTGGCCACAAGATTCACTAAGTCTGAAGTCTCTCAGGAAGAAACTTGGAAGAAATTGAGTGAATTTAATGAGAAATGTAACTTAAAATGAACTAGAAAGGCCGACGTTTTCTTGCAAGCAAATGTAGATGATTTCAACCTTATACTTCCATAATCAGTGGAACAAATAAAAAAAAACATTATGAAAGCTCTAAATATTTCATGGATATATGAGATCTCTTCTTACGACAGAATCTGATTAACATGATTTACATTTTTAAATGTAAAACATGTTACGACAGAAACTGATTAAATTGATCAAAATTCTTTCGTAAGAAGAATTCTTGTAATTTCTCTTGTACCACCATTGATAAAGAAGACACAGAATGAGAAGACCCAAACTTTTTGGCTGTCTATCGGCTTGAAACAAATGCACAATGTCATACAATAATGTAGTCTTGAATGACATTTCCCTTCTGAATGTATATTGAAGACAGGAACACTTACAGAAGATGGGCTGGACTTGTGGGGTGTGGTACCAGTGGGCATGTCTGTGGTGAAGAACGCTGCTGATCTTCCACGTGGCCCACTGCTGGCTGCCATGGCTTCCTGCCACTCCCTCACACTGATTGAAGGGAAGATGACAGGAGACCCATTGGACTTGAAAATGTTTGAAGCAACTGACTGGGTAAGTATTTGACTGGTGCAACCTAACATGTATATACATACATTGTACATACATATCCGGGCTTTGATTATTTTGTTGCCGGCTTCCCTGTCTCGGGTGGGCAGCCAGCGGCTAGACTGGACTCCATAACACAGTGATGTGAAAGAAAGGTACAACAGAATAATGTAATATAATATGTACAACTGTGGTGTAATTAATATCACAAATCATGTAAATTTTTTCCAACCATACCTGTGTTGTGGTAGACGTTTGAATTTTAATATTTCAGTTATACCATATCATATGGCTGAAATATATTGTTTTTCCTGATTTTTTTTCTCCTTCCTCATTTTATTCGGGCTTTCATTAGGAAAAAAGCACTATGGCTCCCGAGCAAATGTCAGCCTTCCTATTTTATGAAGATTTATATCTAATATCCAAACACAAAAGCAAGTCCCCCATCAAGGTAAAATGACCTTTAGCCTATTAGTTACATGACGTAGACTATAGCTACATGATTGTACATAAATTATGTATTTTAACTTGATAAGTGTCAGGGGACTGACCAAAAGCTTGTCAATATTAAGCACTTTACCTTTGTGCACGGTTATAGTGTTTAAAACTTTATAGTGTCATTTGCTGTCACAGATGAACTTTTATTGAACTTTTTGTTCTTCTGCTAGCTTCTGGAAGAGCCTGGCCTAGAGAACACCAGGTTTGACATCTTGGCACCAACTGTTGTGAAGCCAGTTACAGCTGACACCTTTATAATGGGAGGTAGCAATCAGGTTTGTTAACACTGCTTAAGAGATTTGAAATTATTCCTCAAGACCATGTATTGTAGAGAATTGGTACAATTTTGTGATAGGAGAATTTTGATTTGTGGTTGAAACTATTCTGTAGTACATACATGTACAATTTTCATCGGCATGAATTTGCAGTGGAAAGGTCACTGTGAAAACTGCAAAGATAATACCACTGCAAAAGTTTCACAATTTACTGGATGTGAGCCGCATCTGACAACAAATTCATTACCTATTACATGTACGTAACGTTACATGTACTATTGTCCATACAAGTCATACAAGAGAATAATTTCTGTCAGGGGTCCAAAAGGAAGTGTTTTCCAACATATTTACTTATATACATGTACAATGTAGGTAACGTTACATGTTTGTTTGTAAATGCCAAGACATGATCTACATGTACATTAAATTGTACATATTTACTGTGCATCATACCATAATATAATGTCCTTGAATGACCTTGATCATACTATGTATGTATGTATGTATGTATGTATGTATGTATGTCTGTATGTACATGTATGTATGTATGTCTGTATGTATGTACATGTATGTACGTATGTCTGTATGAATGTATGCCTCCTTTCATAGGCCCAAGATAAATGGTAAAATCTGTAACAGGTATGAAGCCAAGGACTTTCTTAAGCTGTGTATATCAGGTGCCAGAATGTGAGCATTTGGGGTTTGATTCAGAACCTCAGTGGTACATTTTTTTTCCAAATCAGAAAAAAAATGAAGAAGGCAAATCCAAGAACCAAGATCAAAATAAATTGTTGTGGCCTAACAATATTACATACATGTAATTAGGAGTTTTGCTGCCCAAACTTCAGTCTGCCATGTAATACATGATACTGTAAATGTTGAAAACTGCAGCTGCAGTAAATGCTGATATCTTACACTGATGTTTATGCTAGCAGACTCCATACGAGATTGGAATTCTACGCCAGTTCCCTTTCTCGTCCAGTCTTCAGCGGATGAGTGTCATCACCCGAACACTTGGGAATCGCCACATGGATGTTTACATGAAGGGAGCACCAGAAATGGTGGCCTCTCTTTGTATGAAACAAACTGGTGAGGTCCTTTTATCTAGTGTGCTAACAACTTTGATATTCATATTACTGTATTCCCAACACATCATTAAGAGGTTCAGTTTAAAATTTATTTATGAAGATTTGGTGATTTACCACATTTATAGAAGGATTGACCCAACAGGTGACTATCACCTCTTTACATGTAAGTTGTGAAGTCTGAGACCAGACTCAGAGGTTTGAACCTCTCACACCGGGAAGGACTGGGTGGCCTAGTCTTTTCAATAAGTGTGATGTAATCTTTAATGAGGTCACAGTTTGGCTCTCCTTCATGGGACCTTCACTTCACATCCTATCCATGAAGATGTCCCTAACCAAAGCTAGCTAGGTACACTCAAATCACAAAATCACCTTGCCACCTTCTAAAAGAACTTTAATTTTGATAAATTGACGATGTTGAGGCTATATTGTTGATAATGCTGCTTTGTGTGACCTTTAAATTTTCTGTCTCAGTACCAGGAGAATTCCACAACACTCTAATGAGATACACTCTCCAGGGGTTTAGAGTCATTGCCTTTGCCTGGAAGATACTCGACACAAGTATCAAGTTTCATCATTTACAGAAACTTCAAAGGTGGGACTCCATCGAAAACCATTTTTGAAAATAGTGTTGACTTTCCATAACAACAAACATTGTATACAATGTACCTGTACCTGTCAACAATATCAGATTCTGTTACAAACGAATAACAGTTCCTACATTAACTTCTGTAACAGGTTTGAAGTATTACTTTCAATACAAAATTTCTCAATCAATGACATCACATGTACATACAGACAGAACACTATCATGACTTGTTGAGCAGTCGATTATAAGTAGCAGAACAGTTTGAACAGAGAACATCCCTCAGAGATGGCTGGCACCGCAAACTTTCTGCTACATGTAATGTTACTACCGATAATCTTATGATTCATTGCTCACAAAGTTGTGTTCGATTTGCATAATGTGACAGAAGTGTTGAATTCCTCATTCCTTGGTTAAGACTAAAAAAGTTCATACATACCAGTATTCCAGAATGAATTCTAACACAGATGAATTTTCAAGCTACCAAGTACATTGATTGTTAACCTTGTACACTAAATTAAATATGAATGCCTTGCATTCTCTTCACTGTATTATTGGTACTATTACAGGGACCAAATAGAGACTGATCTAACATTTCTGGGCCTGATGGTTATGCAAAATGCTCTCAAACCTGAAACCACACCCATCATTCACCAACTCAGGGAGGCCAACATCAGAACTGTCATGGTAACAGGTAAGGTAACCACACCCATCATTTACAACATCAGAACTGTCATGGTAACAGGTAAGGTAACCACACCCATCATTTACAACATCAGAACTGTCATGGTAACAGGTAAGGTAACCATACCCATCATTTACAACATCAGAACTGTCATGGTAACAGGTAAGGTAACCACACCCATCATCAAGATCCCCATTTGCATGAATTATATCAGTTGATCATGTTATTCACCTAGTGACAGTCTTGTCTTATGAAAAATGGCTAATCTAGAATTTCTGCCTAAATTATGCAAATGAGGTCCTGATTTTAATATGTTATTTTTAGTGATGTCTGTCTTCATTCAACTTAAAAACTCACAAGTATGAGATTCTCTGTAGTTACTATGGAATTATAGCTTGTTTGTATTAATTATGGAAATTAGGCCTTCATTTGCTTAACCACTATCTGCCAATGTTCTTCACAATTGCACAATATTACCAAATATAAAGACAATCCATCTTAGGCTTCTTGAGTTATCGCGTTAACACATATTTCAGGCCAACGTCAGGGATGATTTAGTTTTTACTCCCAGATCAGATCTAGACACAGACTGTGAGGTCCTCTGGGCTTGTTCTGTGTAATATAGCCAGCTGTCACCGTGCGTGCATGTGTCTGCGAAGCTGCTTTGTTATGCCGTGGGGCAGCTATGCCAGTGATACAGATAGATAGAGTCATGTATTACAATGATGCGTACAGTGTCCAACTTGTTACATTGATAGACGTATTGTGACTGTAAACACTTTGGACACAGTGGCATGATGTGCTGCCAAACCTTGCCTTACAGTACTGTGGAACATACTGTTGTACATGTATATAAACTGTGGCTTTGTCATGACCAGGTGACAACATGCTGACTGCTGTCAGTGTTGCCAGGAACTGTGGGATGGTGCTGTCCAAGGACACGGTTATCTTAGTGAATGCCAACCCTCCAGAGGAAGGCCAACCTGCGCACATTACATGGACGTACTCGGAACATCCTGCAGAAAACAGTGTCCTGCAGGGAGAAGCTCCTCCTCCTGATGACAAAGTTGAAAGGATAGAAGATCCAGGGCACTGGGACAGTGGTGCAGATGTGAGTGAACCTTTGGTGGAATATGACATGGTAAGTTCTACAGTACATACATGCACAGTGTACATTGTACAATGTAGGTTATCATTACTGAAATAGTTTCACAACCTCATACCTTCATCAAATGATGTTAACCTTTATGACTGACATAAGGATTTCTCATTGATTATGCAAATAAGTTCTTTTGCATAAACATTTGCATAAACCATATTAGATGATGATCTTCTCTCCCCAATACCATACGTTGTCCAGAGTTTGCAGTTCTTGTCTTAAAGGCAAATGTGGCATTTTCTCATTGATTACATGTATGTAACTGTGGCCCTGACAATTTAGATTGTACATTTTTGTATGTCTATCGATACATGTGTATTGTAAACCTTTATGTTGTGTTTTTGACAGTGTTTTATTAAATGTATTACTGCATATGTATGTATGCATGATAAATTTATGTACGGATTGTCAGGAAATTTGGTTGGTGACTACATGTACATGTAGGTCTCAAACTATCAAATAAATTATTAGCTTATTACCTTTGCCAGATGATTTTTAACCTGCAAATTAAAACAAACTTATTATACTCTGTAAATAGCAATGTTCATTACTGTATAATGTTGATGTGTTGAATACTTCGTGTTGTCTGCCACCATTTGTCATCCCAGATACATGTACATATAAATTATATAATGTACATTATTTATATTTCCTCCCAATACCTAGAGCTACCAGGCCATAACAATAAACGAACCTGAGGGAACATACCACTTTGCAGTGAGTGGAAAGTCCTTTGCTGTCATCAGAAATCACTTTCCAGATCTCATTCCAAAGGTATGTGATGGTTTGTTTTATTATGATACGCAAGTATTTTAGTTGAAGAGGTTCATCAGTCACGTAGAATTATCAGTTAGTAGAATATTCCTCAATCAGTGACTCTTTTTGACAGGTTGAAACACGTACCTCCAAATTTTCGATGTCTGTAAGGGTGCCAAGGTCAAGGACGACGATGGTAGCTAAGCCTCGATGGGTGCCCTTACAAAGTTCGTAAGATAAGCCGCCGATGTTGGAGTTGTACGACCCGAAAGAAAGACACAGGAGCCGACAGCTACGTAGAAAGTGGTCTGTATTCTCTTCTCTCTCAAACGGGAACTAACTTAACTACATGAGTGCAGGGGCTTTTATATTCTTCACCACCTACGCACAGGTTTCTTGGAAAAAGTTACATTCTTTGTATCACAATCATCCTGAGTCACATCCTTTCCCTTTCTTAAGATGTTACTGACCAGTCCCTGGACATGCCCAAATAAGGCTAGGGCCAGGCGGTCAGGACGTGTGCCGGCCTAGACCCCCTGGGAAGATAGTCATTAGGAAGTGTCATTCAAAGGTCGCCCACTCCTTCCCAGTATAGGGCAGGAGAAAGTGACCGTACCAGGAATGTCTCAGGATGTCCCAGGAAATACACTGTCACTCTTACTATCAATAATAAAATATATCCTACAAGGTTAGAGCACCCTATTACATGTCCACTGTACATCTTGCTCACGGCCCTATCTTGGACATTGTTAAGATCATAGACCAGGAATCCCGGAAGGCACATAGAAAGATTAAGGAAGCGGTCCACATCCAGTTGGAACGTGCCGGAATGAATCGCAATGAAGGTTGGGAGCTGCCCAAGTCCTACCTGCCCCTGCTCCGCAAGGAGGCGGGGGAGGTCAGAAGATCCACACAAGTCTCGACCTATATAGTCTTGTGTTCTCGCGAGACTAGGTCACTCCGTGAGCAAGATGTACAGTGGACATCGAAAATTTGGAGGTACGTGTTTCTACCTGTCAAAAAGAGTCACTGATTGAGGAATATTCTACTAACCAAGTATTTTATATACGCGAGTAATGAAACATAAACACACAATGTACATGTAATACAGGCTGGAATGAGGTGTGACTACTGTAGCATTTCTGCATGTGTGAGCTGTTTGCTAGTTGTATGGTGTCAGAAGTGATGTCAGGTGGAAAATTCCTACATGTATGTCTTCCCTGGGCCATGATAACATTCAATACAGGTTTTGTAATGGGTATTACACAGACTTCCAAAAGTTCCATAGAATAAATCAAAATGTTTCACGTGTGCCGCCTGCATGGCTTTTGAAAATCCAAATACTAGTACCTGATTCGGACATTGAAATTGATGTTGTTACAAAGTTTAGTGTAGAGATGTGTGTTAGGCTGGTACTTTGGGTGATACAGTAACACCATGTTGTATTAAACTATTATTGTATGTACTGAAATGTAGGTTTTTATTCTGCTCAGATGTGTGTCAGAGGAACAGTGTTTGCCAGAATGCCTCCTAACCAGAAGGCACAGCTGGTAGAGAGTCAACAGGATTTGGGGTAAGGGAAGACTCCTGCAGTATTAAGTACATAATTATGTAGCTGTTACATGTATATACATGTACATTTAGGAGAGTGGATTTACTCCTCCAGCTAACCGACATCTCGCACACACAATCACCCCACAGTTACAGTAAGACATCTGGAGCTGCATAGTTCCAGTCAAGGAGGTTTAAAATCAAACCTGCTTGTTCCAGTTTAGAACTTTTATTCAACCTTTCACACATGTGCCATAAGAAGGGATTGTGTGTTTAGATTTTTTTTGTACATGATGAAGAGTAGATGTGTTCAGCATCAATACATTTCCTCTAGGTTGATTAGTAACCCACTCATGTAAGGTACATACTTTTACATTGGCCACAATGTAAAACTCATAAATGAGAATATTTTCTATAAAAATCAAAGACTAGTACATGTTGGAGCAAAAATTTCAAGAAAATACATTTCCCAGATGTTACTCATTACCATAGCAACAGATGAGCCTGCAGTTTTGAGGGGCATTTTATTTTTGTCGTGGTGTCAAATAGCCAAGTGTACATCATGTACATGTACATATATATGAGATCTAGACATCATGTGTTTGATTCCTGGCATTCCTGGCAAGACATTGTGTCCTTAGGAAAGGCACCTCACACAACTTGTCTATATCGGATTTATACGCCCAGTGTTGGAATACGCGTGTCAAGTGTGGCATCCGGGACGTACAGTTGCTGAATGCCAGTCAATAGAGAGAGTGCAGCGAAGAGCATGCAGAATTATTCTTAGACAGGACTACAGCAGCTACAGCTCGGCGCTGTCTGAACTCTCTCTATCCACACTTTCCCAACGACGGCATGAACTGTGCAGAAAGTTCGCTGAGTCGTTACTGAAATCGCCGACCTACAGAAACTGGTTGCCACCTTGCCGTGAGGCCATATCGGGCAGGACTACCAGGTCGAGTAAACTGCTACAAACTCTCAGACACAGAACTGTCCGATTCACTAAGAGCCCTATATACTATGTGACAAAGTTGCTGAACGATACGCATTCTGTAACATACTGGTTGTTGTACTGGCCGAACAGGCTTTTCGTACTTTTAATATTGTATTTTCTATGTATATGTAGTGTATTGAACTCTCTATTGATAATATTCTCAAGTTTTTAAATTGTAAAAGAGTCTACAATTCAGCCATTTAGGCTGCCACCAACTTTTAAACCTGTATGTCTAATAGTATTTATTTGTTTATGAGAATAAACCAGTCATCAGTCATCATCATCATCACAACTTCCTCACTCCACCAAGGTGTAAAATGGGTACCTGACTTTGGTTGGGAGGTAAAAGGTGGTGGAAGAAGAGAGATGGGCTCTGTCCTAGACACAGTATACATTTTGTACTAACTGTCAGAGTACATTGTTCCACAGGTACTGTGTTGCTATGTGTGGGGATGGTGCCAATGATTGTGGGGTGAGTACACAAAACTATTTGTTTGCTGTTCATGAATGTCTGGAATCTCAAACTCCATTGTCTTGATGTGCTGTAAACAACAGAATTTTGTATTAAACAAGCTGACAGGAGTTTGATGGGTAAATTGTAGTTCCATGTGATGGGAGTTAACATTGATGTCACAAACATTCTGACCTCCAGCACTGACCTCAAGATATCTTTTGGGATTTCAAATTAGATGTTTTTTTGGGATTTCGCTGTGGTGCAGGATCCTAAAATGTAAGTTCTTGATGATTAATCTTGTCATTACATACTCTTGGAAAGGATAGCATATTACTTAATGGATAAGTCACAAGATTACATTGTGTAATGATAATAATTATGAATTCGTTGTTTGCAGGCACTGAAGACAGCTCATGCTGGAATATCACTGTCTGAGGCTGAAGCCTCTGTTGCCTCTCCTTTTACATCCAAAATACCCAACATTCAATGTGTTCCTACAGTCATCAGGTACATTTTTGTAAATCACCTCAGTCTAAGATTTCAAGGGCAGATAAGGCCATGTTGATTTGATTATATAATTATATGGATGACATCCATGCGCACATGAATTTTCGGCCGTTTCCAAAAAAAAAAAAGTTTTCAACCATACTGTAAATCGTACAAAACAGTTGCAAAATGAGCAAAAATATACCGTTAAAGTTACAAAAAAACCATACCAATGTCGTAGAATGCCAAAATCAAACAAAAAAGACGAAATTGTAAAGAAATGAACTTGAAGACTAGATTATTCGCCAAACCATATTCTGTCCCTTTTGTTCAACCCTCATGACCACNCATTCTGACCTCCAGCACTGACCTCAAGATATCTTTTGGGATTTCAAATTAGATGTTTTTTTTGGGGATTTCGCTGTGGTGCAGGATCCTAAAATGTAAGTTCTTGATGATTAATCTTGTCATTACATACTCTTGGAAAGGATAGCATATTACTTAATGGATAAGTCACAAGATTACATTGTGTAATGATAATAATTATGAATTCGTTGTTTGCAGGCACTGAAGACAGCTCATGCTGGAATATCACTGTCTGAGGCTGAAGCCTCTGTTGCCTCTCCTTTTACATCCAAAATACCCAACATTCAATGTGTTCCTACAGTCATCAGGTACATTTTTGTAAATCACCTCAGTCTAAGATTTCAAGGGCAGATAAGGCCATGTTGATTTGATTATATAATTATAGGGATGACATCCGTGTGCACATGAATTTTCGGCCGTTTACCAAAAAAAAAAGTTTTCAACCATACTGTAAATCGTACAAAACAGTTGCAAAAATGAGCAAAAATATACCGTTAAAGTTACAAAAAAACCATACCAATGTCGTAGAATGCCAAAAATCAAACGAAAAAAGACGAAATTGTAAAGAAATGAACTTGAAGACTAGATTATTCGCCAAACCATATTCTGTCCCATTTGTTCAACCCTCATGACCACGTAGATTTCATAATGAAAACAAATTTTTTTTTTGTCAAAACTTTTTTTTAATTTTCGCACGCGCGCATCAATTTTGGGGTTCCCGGAGGATGTCATCCATATAATCAAATCAACATGGCCTAATGCAAAAATTAGACGTCATGCATGGCCAACAACTACATGTATACCTGATACTGACTCCAAACTCTTGTTTCACAAGCAGTAAGCCAGGCTACTGTAAACTTTGAAAGGTTGTTTTGTATAAAAAAAGCACTGATTTCCAGTGTGAGTGTTTGTATTTGTGTGTGTCAGTGTATATTTTTGCATGTATGCAGGTTTGAGTGTACAATGTGTGTGTACATGAGTGTATGACTTACTGTGTAAGTGTACACAGGTATATGATTGTGTGTGTGTGTGTGAGTGAGTGAGTGTTTATGTTTGTTTGTTTGTTTGCAATCTGCAATTTTTATGTTAAAGAAGTGTCCCTTTGTTTTTGGCAGGGAAGGGAGAGCAGCCTTGGTGACATCCTTTGGTAGTTTTAAGTACATGGCCCTGTACAGTATGGTGCAGTTTGTCTCTGTCATCACACTTTACTCAGTAAGTATTAACATCATGCCTGTTGTGTAAATACATGCTGACACCAATTTGTCATCTGGCTTATGACAGATTTAGAGCTGCAATACTAAAAGCTGAACAGAAATTTTGTTGCTTACTTTTGCTAAATTCAGCCTCACCTTGAAGAAATAGGTGAAAGTCCCATTCTGGGGTATAGCTGTACACTATGACGTCTTACGTCACTGCCCACACTGACGCCCCATGAAAATGGGGCAGGTGAGGGCAAAATCACAAAATGGCCACAACAGCAGCTCGTGCTGTGATCAAGTACATGTATATACATGTACATGTAGATAAAAGGGGATGTCTCCCAAGGAAGCCAATGACGACATGGTCAATACATTTGGTAATGACTCCCTGTCTTATTCAACTGTAAAGAAGTGGGTAGCCAACCTCAAGCGCAATAAGGAGAGCACGAAAGATGAACAGAGGTGAGGATGCCCCAAATCAGCACCACAGACAATCCAGTTGGGAGCATCCATGGCATGATAGTGAATGACAGATGTGAGACTGTCCAGGTTGTAGCAGGTTCTTTGGTCTGAGTTGTGGCTCAGTTCACAATGTTTTGTCTGACATCTTGAGGTTGAGCAAACTGAGTAAAGACTGATTCCCTAGATGCCTAGTGTGATGTTTTTCCTAACCCACTTTTAACTGATATTGCATAGGCTGATATTGCATAACAATTAATGTTACAGTTGTGTATTATTATCATGTTTAAATACCCAATTTTTGGCATCATTGATCGGAATGTCCTAAAATTTAAAAAAATTAAGAAACTGAAACTCTGTTGTTCTTTAAAGAGGGACGTCCTTCATTTTCCATACAGTTCTTTTTGCTTTAGAATTATTTCCTGCATGGAAGAGATGGTTGCTAGAGATGGAGTAGTGCAGAATGAAATTGAGACCCAAAATAAACAAGTTCCATGAACTCATGCCATTGCCAAATGATGTTAAGGTCTTATCAAGGCTTTCGATCCATTTTTAGAAATAGTTGGAAAGAAATAAAATTCTGTCTGACATGGTCATCTTTCAGGCATATTTTTATGATGATCTGTGATTTTTTTCGCCAAGGTCACATTTTGACCGCCTAGATGAATTGCAAAGTTGGCAGTTTTATTAGCCTCAGTTGGGTGTGCACTGATGATACATTATTATGTATATTATAAATGTTTCTCTAGATGCAAAATATCGGTTATGCATATTAATAACTTATATTCATTGATGATGTTCTCTGAGTGCACAAATATGTTGTTCAAAGTTTGAAAGCCTTAGGCCACACCAATTTAATTTGTTGGTTCTCGGATTTTGTCAGAAAAAACATGAAGCGACAGGGCGAAAAAAAAATAAAAATAAAAACAGGTTTAGGCATCCTATTATAGCCCCAAATGCTATGATAGGAGCCATGAAGTCAACACAAAAGGTTGTGTTAATATTTAAACAATGAATTTTGAACTTTTAATCAAACCACTGCATTGATAGATGGAAACACTGCAACGGCTTAGGAAGAAAAGGACTTTCAACAACTGTTGGGGGCAAAATATGAGCATTTTTTAGTTGATTCAGAACCAGAATCTTTTTTTTTTTTTTTGTCAAATCAGAAAAAAATGAAGAGGCGAATCCGAGAACCAACAAATTAAATTGGTGTGGCCTTATCTTAACAAGGAAGGCTGTTGTACAATTTCCTGATGTAATATGCATATAAGGCCCTGATTTGCATAATTTTTGTCCAATGATATTCACCAATACTTACAAATTATGCTGCAACTTAATATAGAAGTCATTAATCACTATCCTGGTATTATACAATCATATAATAACATAATTTATAAAATTATCCATCAATATTCGTCTCTTTCTTAGTTACACGTCACTTGTTTACAAGTCTAAAGTTAAACATCGAATGCAGTAAATAGAATTTCATCATTAATTATGCAAATAGAGCTGTCAACCCTTTCTCAACTTATGGCCTTCTAAAGCCTACATTGTACAAATGTACATACATGGGTGAGATCTATCTACATGTACTACTTAAAAATTATGACAGCTACATGTAGCATGCCCAGAACACAAGATATCATCATCAGTCTGAGCTGCAGTGCAGACGACTGCAAGTTCCCTCCATTTCCCCCTGTTGCTTGTAAGGTCAGAAATCTGTTTTGCAGAGAGATGGCTATTGTAATTTCCCACGAGATATACATATACATGTACAATATAATTTCATACAATGAAAATAAAAACTGGAAGTTCTGATGCAGAACCAAGGAAGCTGTCAGCGGGTCAAAAATCTAATTTCTTTGATAGGTCAAGGTCTTACCTACCAAAATTGAAAATTTGTTCATGTATTTCTAAAATTAAACAAGTAAAATCTGAGATTTTATACCTCCGGGCTTTTTATTGTATATTCTTATATGTTGTTTGTTTAAACGAAGAATTTATTGACACCGGACACCCCTCTGTGCGAAGCCTAAAAAAAGTGGACCAAACCGATAATACCTTAAACACACCAGAGGTCAACCCGCGCGACCATTTTCAGGGTCAAAGGGGTGTCCGAGTGCAGCCAAAAGTCTTAATTTTCACGCCCAAAAACACATATACAATAAAAGCAGAAGAACGTGCATCATCTACAGTCCCAAAAAAATCTGTTCACCCCAACGCGAGAAACAGCTGCGAACATGAAAATCCCAAACTCTTTTAATACCCTTCCGTGGAAGGATGTCTCCTTCTCCTTTTTACAGGAAATGTGTTAGATAAAAATAGAGTTTTTACATTATGACGGAAACACACATACAATTGACATGTATTCACTCTCAAGCTATCTGCAAATACTGTACTCTCAAGCTACATGTAGCTGCAAATACTAGTACTGTTCCATTTAAATGAACAGTATGTGCAGATAGCTTGGGAGTAAAATTATGTGTGTTTCCATTATAATGTAAAAATTCTATTTTTAGCTAACACCTTGTCCATTGGGAAAACTGAAATTCTGAAGTGGAGAATGTTAATTTAACAATTTATGTATATTACATTGTAATTTCGTTTTTTACAGATCGATTCCAACCTTGGAGATATCCAGTACTTGTACATAGACCTGGCCATTACCACTACTGTTGCACTGTTCAGTAAGTACACGTTCAAGTTGCAAAGACAAGACAGTACATGTACATGTACATTTATATGTACGTGTATGACTACTGTAACAGTACATGACATTGTGCAGATGAGACATATTGCATTGTGTTAGGCTGTGTTAGACTTGTGCTTGCAGTGATATGCCAGGCCTTTGTGCCCTTTATCCCCATATTGAAAACATTGTTAGCTAGAGTTCAGGGATATCAAATCCATAAATATGTAGAGCATAAATGTTTATGCAAATGACTTTCATATATTATATATTTCCACTCTCGCCAAGGTGATCGATTAAGGATTGGGTGGAAAAGACCTCGGCGAGCTAGTGTCGAGTGTCTGCTCCCTGTCATACATGCGACTCTCACAGTGAGTGTGGGGTGGGCGGGGGGTTTGGGGATTTCTTTGCGTCCCCGCTCATTTCCGTCCAGCCTTCTCCTTTCTTGCGTCCTCTTCCCTAAAGACAGTCTGGGTACTGAACATTAGGGTCGACTTGGGGGTGATTCGCTACCCCGGCCTTTAATACTGGCCTTGATTAAACGTTAACACACGCGACCTATCTCTAGCTGTTCCTTGCTCTATTACTTATTACCTCGACCTGGCGGCTCATACTCGTACCTCCCGACGTTGACCCGCCAGTGCGTGCGGCATCGATGTCCAGCTGCCAGGCGTGGGCCTCCCATGACGCTGCCGGTCAAGAAATTGAATTTCCCGCCTACCCTTAAAGTAAACCATCAGTGTGTCTACATCATCTACCCTGACGCCCGGTACTCGCCGCGCCGAGTTCACGTCGCTCCAGTTACCAGGCTACTCACGAGACGGGTTGTACGCTAACCCCGCTACCTTCTCTCTGTCGTCCCGCTTCACAAAACTGATGAAGTATGAGGGGTTGGTCACATGGCCTGACATCTCGCTCAACAAGAGTCTCGCGAGATGTCAGTCCATTGTGACGTAAGTGGGAATAATTATATATTTCCACTCTCGCCAAGGTGATCGATTAAGGATTGGGTGGAAAAGACCTCGGCTACGCTACAGTGATCAGGTGCCTTAACCCCTGTCATAGGCTCACTCTCAAACCTCTTCCTCATTATCCCCCAATCCTTATCCTTCCCATTCCTTACCCTCTCCTCTCCCATTCCTTACTCTAAGTGTCACGTAAGGCAAAGACACTCAGTAGGCCAAGACACGAATACACACCATGAGAGGGTAGTCTTTTCCTTTTATTCAATCTCGATTTAATGTCTGTGGAACTTGCCCGCCTGGGGCACAATTACTGAGTCCCTGAACTGTAGTCACTGAGCCCTCGCTCGCAACAAGCTTGCCAGCAGTTCTTGTACTACTGGCCGTGGTCCGTAAAGGAGCGGGGCCCGTTCCAGACCCATTTACCCACTGGATAGCCGACACCCTCTCTTCCCAGAGCCTCAGTGGATTAAGGGCTACTTGCGCCTGCTTTCCAAACTGGGATGATGACGGTATACGTGATACTGGATACACACCTGTTTCTAAAGCACTTCAATCTTATCTCATCCTCAAGTGTACCCCAAACTCTCGGGTACGGGTACATCTCCTTCGGTTTCTCTAATCTAAAACGGTAACCCTTCCGTTTACTCAAATATATGTCGGCTACCTTAAGTAAATTTAGGTCTGGAGGGGCCCTCGCTCGCTTCCCGGGCCACCAGCCGAAGCTATATGGTGGCGGCAAACCCTGGGGAAAGCACGCACGGTCCACGAGTTAAGGCTTAGCCAGCCATAAAATGCCAAAACTGGGTAGCTATCTCAAATACATACAACCGAAAAATTGTACTACTCAAAGCGCCTTCCTATGCGTTTACGATACATGTACGCATCTCCATACGACGTACAAAACAAAGAAAAATGGCCCATTGCAAGGCCAAACCAAAAGGTCAATGGCTAAAGGAAGACGACCGAAAACTGTCCCACCGTCTCCCCTTCTGCTATTGATAGCCTTTATGGAAGACGACCGAAAACTGTCCTATTGCCCCCTCTACTGTCGGTTGTCGCTATGAAAGATGACCGAAAGCTGTCTTACCGTCTCTCCTCCAGCTGTCGATTGTCGCTAGGAAAGACGACCGAAAACTGCTCTACTGCCTCTCCTCCTGCTGTCGGTAGTTGGCAAGTGACCAAAGACTACCGAAATCTGCCCTCCATCTCCAACCCCCCTTGAGGTTGTCGGAAACCTCCACGGAGAGGGAGAGCGAAACTATTCAGTTCCCATCTAACTCGAGATTGTCCAACAACCTCTATCCCCCGGGAACGCGATAAGCCATAAAACTGTCCAACAGTTTTACGCAATAAACTTTGAGACTGTCCGACAGCCTCTACCACTACTGATACCTGACACTGACCTTCAGTTTCTCGCTTCGAGATTGTCCAACAACCTCTATGCACCGGCAAAACGATATGCCATAAAACCGTCTAACAGTTTTACGCACCAAATTCTGAGACTGTCCGACAGTCTCTATCACTTCTGATACACGAAACTGTCCTACAGTTTCTCGCTTCGAGATTGTCCAACAACCTCTAAACCAGGAGAAGCAATATGCCATAAAACTGTCCAACAGTTTTACGCCCCAAATTCTGAGACTGTCCGACAGTCCCTACCACCTCTGATACATGAAACTGTCCTACAGTTTCTCGCTTCGAGACTGTCCAACAATCTCAGAGAAGCTCCGCCAACACCAAAAGGAAACTTAGAAAAAATTGTCCCACAGTCTTTCCCCGAAGTAGGCCCATCCGTTGATTATCCGACAATCTAGCAAACGCAGGGCCAAACGGAAAAATTGACCAAAATTCCACAAACTTTTCCCTCCGAGGAAATGAGCCATCAACGCTTAAAACAAACGAAAAGGGGAAAAATACGAGACTGTAAAGAAGTGTGAAACGCCCCGGGGTACACACACGTGATTCCTGGGCGGGCACACGCAAACATAAGGTCATAAAATGACGGAGGCAAAACTCCTACCCACAGCGTCTCTGCGTTCCGTGCCGGGACTCCCTGCGGGATGGCCAGTGCCGACACCACGGAACTGGATCCCGAGAGAACTGTCAGTATCTTCGGGATGCCTGCTCGCTCTGTCCGGTGGCAGGGGATGCAACAGCGCTACCGCCGGGTCACACTCCCGTTCCGCCCGGGGCGGCAAGACGCTCCGCCCGAGGCGGGAAATCCCTCTCGTTGACCGGGCTGTACCCGGCCGCTGGCAGGCTTGCGTTCGCGGGCTGGTTTCCACTCGTGGTCTGTGTTGTACTCGCGTTCGGGGTCGCCACAGTGTTCCTCCGGGAGTCTGCAACTGTGAAATAGAAAAACACGTTACCCAGAGGAAGAGGGATAGCACACGTACTTATCTGCCGAGGCATGCACGTGCGCTGCCACGTCGACAAATCTTTATCTAGCCTGCGCTCCGAAATACTACCCAACAAACCTGTTTCCTCGAGACATTACCACAACAGTACCTTCTAAACCGGGTAACCAATGCGGGAATTCTACAGAATAATGCTGCCACCGCCGGAATCACAGAAAAATGGCCGGATCGACCGGAGCTAAACTACACGCTACCTTCGCTGGGGCTGGCTTCACAAAACTGATGAAGTATGAGGGGTTGGTCACATGGCCTGACATCTCGCTCAACAAGAGTCTCGCGAGATGTCAGTCCATTGTGACGTAAGTGGGAATATTACACAATCTATGCATAGTGATGTTTGCCTTTAAAAAAAATCTGTAACACAATGCCTCAAGATTTCAGTAATGCTGCTGTAGTTGTAAAATTGACTGCTATGCCAGGCCTATACCACTTAATCCTGCGTGAAAGATATCTGCTTGAACTCCAAACATCCAGATCATAGCATGTCCATCACAATCAATGCATTAAAAAATGAAGAATTTCCTCAAAAAGGCATCCAGTGCAGTTTTTAGGGCTTGGTAACCAGATTTTTCAAAGTCAATATTCTACACTTATCTAAGTTGAAACAACACTATCCCAATGTATATCGACATTCGTGGAGCAAAAATGCCCAAATTCTGACGAAAAACAGTTACTTTAAGTACCTGGGTTGATTTTAAGGGTACAACCCAAAAAAATAAAGTAATCATAAATCTTGGGGCATGTTTTAAATGCCTTAATGAAATACTGATTCAATTGTGCTAAATATAAATGTGGGACAGTATGTGTTAATATCATGTAGATTGCCTTATTCAGAGTATTTCCAGTTTTGCTGCCCTGAAATTGCATTGGATGCTTTTAAGTTAAATTTTCTGAGAAAGAAGAAGCTGGTTATAGAAGCATTGTCAATACTGGACAGACATGTTTCATTGATGAAGTGTATTTCCCCAGTGGGCTGGCAAGAGGCGTACCCTAAGTTGGTTCCGCAGAGGCCTTTGGGAAGTCTGATGGCACCAGTCAACCTGTTCTCAGTTCTGAGTCATGTGGTCCTCATGATAGCTGTACAAGTCGGGACCTTCCTGTACCTCAAACAACAACCTTGGTGAGTCCTGGTGAGGCAGTCCTTCCCACTGGAGATGTGGGAAGTGTTCATGTCAAAGATAAATAGAAATGCGGACTTTTTAAAACATGCTCCAATGTGTATGAATGACTGCCTTATAATTATTGCAATATCATATTCAGTATGTACATTTTAGATATTTGTACGTGTATGCATTTGGAAACCATACCTTAGCACTGTATACATGGCAACATCATGTACTCTTTTCTGCAGCATGGACATACATGTAGAATGTAGATGGCAAAGAAATTTATCATATACATGATTAATAAGCCCATACATCTATATAGATAGACAAATAAATCCAAATATTTGGACTCGCTTTGATGGGAATTTTTATGTCAATTTGCAATATAATCCATTGGCAAGCATATTCAATACATGTAATGCATAACACACTCCTAACTTGGAATGTGTCCATGGAACAGATTTTTCACATAATAATATGCATTATTACCTTCGCCAAGAATTGACGAAGGTTATGTTTTCCTGGCCGTGTGTCTGTCTGTCTGTGTGTCTGTCAACAGCATAACTCGAGAAGGCTTAGATGGATTATCTTGATATTTGGTAGGTGGGTAGGTCTTGATAAGAGCTCGAAATGATTAGCCCCCTGGCGGCTTGTTATGGTACTGCAGCTGAACTTCCAGATTTGATATCTCATGATCTAGACATGCTGGGGTGACGAAACTTGAATGGTAGGTAGCTCTTGTGCTGGGGAAGAAGTGACGTGAGTTTTGGCCCCCTAGCGGCTTGCTCAGGAACTGCAGGGCTATCTGTCTGAAAACATTCAAAAGAGGATAACTCAAGAACCGGTGGACGGATCGTCGTGATTTTTGGTATGTAGGTAGCTTAAGTGACGCTTGACATAATTATGTGACAATTAGATGCTACAGAACTGGGTCGTCTATGTTCTGGTTTTTAGTGAGCGTTCCGTTTCCCCAATATAAGTATCGACTTCAGACAAACTTTGACCCTTTGCTGACGTCACACGTGGGAAAATCACGTGTAATTTGCAATGTAATTTACCAACTCAGATGAACATTCATGCTGATACCCCTGACTCGTGTATGGTGGGTGCCTCATGCCTGAAGACCTGCCACTGCCATAAGTACATGACATTGTATACATGTACACATAAGAAATAAAGCTTTACAAATTCAGTTTTAAACTCTCAAAATTTGGGCCTTCCAGAGTTTGTAGCAAACCAACCTGAGAAGAACAACATCAACGCTTTTGTTGTCTGCATCAATTCCCTGCCAAAATGCCAGTGAGAGTGCATGGTGGCAGGAGGACACTTGCACTGCTGTGTCCAAGTATTTATCACCCTCTAACATGTGACTGGTACTGTCTCATGTCTCAAAAATGAATTTGGTAGCAAGATATCTAACATATTTTCTAATTATTATGTGAAAATTTGTTGATGCTAAGGCAGCATTATTAGATTGTAATGACTTTCTTTCTATTCGAGGTACAAAATGTAGGGCACAGTCCAATGCATACACCTGTTTTTTTAGGGCAGCACAAGCTTAGTTACTCAAGATACAGCCCTCCCTTAAGCTAGAATATGCTACAATTACGCAAAGTTATAAAGAGAGCAAAAATGTTCCAAGTTAGAGCACCTTGTCTAGCTGAGCACAAAATCTAATGGTATTTTCACAAAATGATTTTGCAACATTTACCAATTGTAATACAGAGTGTAAAAGGTTCATGCACAATACAAAAGTATTTCTAACTCAAGTATTGTCTTATCATGAAGATAGATGTGTTCAAATTTCATTTATCAAAACCTGACCAATTTCCTTGTAACTTGTAGCAAAGTGTCATTTAGTTCCAGTGTGTGAAAAAAAAGCATTCCAAGTCTGGGCCCTCCCATTACATGTATGTACTATGATATAACAATATGTTTCCACATAACTTCCTAAGTTATGTGAACTCTGTTGACCCAGGTTTGTTCCCTTGAAGCCAGACCCCAAATCAGACAACATCCTGTGCTATGAGACTACAGTGGTGTTCAGTGTGTCCAGCTATCTGTACATAATACTGGCTGCAGCTTTCTCAAAGGGCAGACCCTACCGCAGGCCCTTGTACACAAACTGTAAGTTATTACTGTAACATTACAGCATTATTATAAATGTCCTTATATAAGTATGTTACAGATATTGACAATGTCATTGTGATGGGGGTGGCTAACACTTGTGCAAATGGATACAGATCTCTAGATCTGCTGACCTCACTAAAGGCCTTGAATGGGTGGGAGCGATTAAATGGATGAGATTGCTAGCCCTTCAGCTCAAGTACATGTATGACCTTGTGTTGAAATAGCTTTATTTACATGACTGTATACTTAGTATATTATACATTGTATATAGCCTGAAACCTTATGATCCACTGCTCACTGAGTCATTAAATTACTTTCTTCATACTGCCTTCTACATGTACCAACACAGTTAAGACAAGAAAAAAGTTCTATCATTATCTGCTATTATAATATCAATGAAGGAGTATTTTCTTCTGAATGTAATTTTGCCAGGCGTCTGATTTTGAATTTTTTTGTCATGCCCATCAATTATGCACAATATCATTGGAGATTATGCTTTTGTAAATATTGTTTTTTAGTGTATGATAATTAATTAATTTGTTATTTTCATGACTACAACAATAACTTACTTTTGCATGGCAGAGGTATTTCCTATATACTTGCATGCTAATTTTATTGTTAGATCCTATATACACGATGATGATTGTTTCCTCTAACTTTCAATGTAGTACCTGTTCATATGTTCTATAGATGTGTTCGTGATGTCCCTTGTGATGTTGTTTATCCTGGTACTCTAACTAACATGTAGTATCTGTACATGGACCTGTAGATGTGTTCATGATGTCCCTTGTGATGTTGTTTATCCTGGTACTCTAACTAACATGTAGTATCTGTACATGGACCTGCAGATGTGTTCATGATGTCCCTTGTGATGCTGCTGGGATTCAGCACACTTCTCTTACTGTACCCATTCACACCTCTGGCCAAGTTTATTGAGGTATGTTTTGCTTGTACATCATGATGAAGGTCAATATTACAATGTGTTTGCGCTGCAATGTTTGAAGGAATGCTAACAGACTGCAGGCTTGGGATAAAAGTAAATTTGATGGCTGTCAGAATTGTGTATTATTGTGCAAATTAAGAGCTACAATCATGCAAATGATGACCTAATTTGCATAATTAATGTGAAAATTCTGTGACTCCTTGTTGGTGACTCCTTTTTACCTTGTGACAAGTGTAAGTTACTTAAAGGTTAACAACACTATGCATATATTATGTTAATGTGAAGGTCTTTTGCATAATCAATGAGGACATGTTGAAATGAAGTATGGCAAATAAGAGAAATTTTACATGAAAAATATTGTCATTTGAATTTAGAAAACCATAAATTAAACTACATGTAGATTGTGCTAATCATCATCATATCTTGTCGGCCCACTGTTCCAGACAGTCCAGGGCTTCCTGGTTTGCATCGTACAGGTCTCGTTTGGTGACAGATGGTCCAAATTCGCAGTCCTGTAGGATGTGCTAATTGTGCTAATTACGACCTTACATGTATTTCTATAGTCAATGAAACAAATAAAAAAGCATTTACAAAAACTCATATATTTCATGGAGGTATGAGATCTCCGAATTCTTGGTTTTTTTTCAGAACAGGCTAAAAGCTATGTGCATGCAGATGTCATCCATAAAATTAAGACGGTGTGGGCTAATAAAAACTCAAAATATCCCTATAAACATAAGTGACAAAAAAATACAAAAAGATAACAAAACCATAAATTATTTCATGGAGGGATGATGTTTTACCCTGTCACTTCATATTTTTTTCTACATGTAAAATAAACCAACATATACTTAAAAAACTTACAAAAACTTACTTACATGTACTTAATTATCCAAAAAACACATTTAATGAAATGAATGTTGGCATATGTACGTGTGTAGTGTGATTCTTTCCTCTTTTGGCTTCACATTACTGTACAATGTTATGTGGCCATGAATGCTAATGAGGCCATTTCCATTCTTCACAGCTTAAGGTGGATATGCCATTCCATTTCCGACTTATCCTGTTGGGCATCATCAGTGCGTACTGCATCATTGTGTTTGTAGTAGAGGTGAGTCCTTTCAGCATTTGTTTATGTATCTGAGTGTCTACAAAAGCACAAAATAGGTTTAAAACTTCCAAATGAACATCAAATTATAGAAAAAAATTCCTTGTTTCTGATGGGTAAGCCTGGGAAGATTCAAACAAGTTTTTTAAGAGTCAGACAAATATATTAAGTCATTGTGAATGTGAAATTGGCACAGTAGTTTGGTCTTAGTACTTGGAACTTCTTACCCAACTACATGCACAATAAAACAATGTACCTGAGCTCAGAAATACAGAAAGTGTGGTTGGGCAGAGTCATGGGAAGTCAGTCATATTGCAGTCCAAGAGTGCACCTTACCAGATCTGAAATAAATTAGTAGGTTTATTTGGATCAGATGAATGCCCCTTCCAGCAAATAAATAAAGGAGAATATTTGGTAATTTGCAATGGCCACATTAAGGTTTCGAAATAAACGGACAGGCAATTAAGTGTGCCACCCGAGAAGTAAAAACGGCCAATATAAACGGACAGGCAACTAAGTGTGCCACCCGAGAAATAATACGGACAGGCACGAAATGTGCTGGCCAACAAATAATAATACAGACAGACAACCGAATGGTGCCAATGGACAATAATAATATGGACTGATTGTATATGTCATACTACATATTATATGTGAAGACATATATAGGTTCATATTTTGAAATGGACAAATATAAATGCTAGTAAGATATTACTCTCGAGGCCTGCAAGTTCAGAATTTGTAGTGGGCGGGGAGGAAGGAAACTCTGTACAAGCTGAAAAACCGCTGAAAAACTTGGTACGAGCCAATCGGCACCCGCGTATGATTCCAGCTAACGATTACTTGTGCCACAAACTTCTGGGATAAACTCAATCCTCGACCGCGTGGTTTTTTTCTGGCGCTGATTGGTCACTTCGGTCGGAAGACGCGCGGATACTGTATCCCTGTCCGGGCTTAACTAAATCATATTCGGGCGTTCCGTCCGGCCTAAATTCGAATTTTCCTTTTTTCACGAAAATGAATTTATGCCTCCCTTCCCGGCCGTTATATTATAAATAAACTGATCCATCACTGACAACGACTCTAATCTTGGTGGGAATACCAGTAACCTTTATTAACTGGCACAAACAATCAAACGAGCATGATAAAAGTAACAGTCAGCGTCGACATTAGTCAACAGTAGAATAAGTAGACAAATCTTGTCTCAGAGAAGTTTAAACATTATAACTCAACGGTTAGAATAAGTAGACATATCCTGTCTCAGAGAAAGTTTAAACATTGTAACATATCTAGCCAAAAATTGATTGAGGATGTATTCCACCCGCCAAAGGAGCAATTCGCGACCGAACGAACTAAACGATTCCCACCAAGCGAGCCGATAGGCGACAACGGCCGGGAGGATAAATGTGCACGAACTAATCAAGAAGTAGACTGCCTTCTTGTATAACTTTGGTAACGAGGAAAAACAACGTTTGTGTGAAAAATAACGCCAATCCCCCCAAAAAGGACAAATTTGAGTAAATTTTGTGATGAATTAACCTTACATGACTCGTGAACTACACGGTGTGGATATGTTTTGTGATGGCGCCCCGGATACTTCTGTAGTAAATGCAGTTCGCGTGATCCGAAAGATGTACATGTAAACCGTCATACAAAAAATAGTCAGGGCAATGTCTCTCAACAAGACGCCTGTGTTCCCAAAGACACAGGCCTGTCTGCCCGGCGGACTCGGCTCTTAGGTGGGGTAAAAATTCAGCTAACCTGGCGTTGTATGGCACGTTAGGGGGGTCATACACTCTTTCCAAGGGTTCGCCGAGATTGATCATGCGTGCCCCGGTACATCGTTTCACTAGCAAAGCTAAGTTAATAACCCTAAGGGCCATGTCCAGAGGTGCCCAAGGCATGAGACATAAATCATTGCAACCCAGTTCTAAATAAACAAGGTCAGACGGCGGTAAGTGGCCATGCTGGGCAAGATGACCGACTCTGGCAACGTTGGCGCCCGGAATACCCTTCCAGTTTACCGTAGCGCCACCCCTCAGCCACAAGTCTGGGCTGAAGGCCCGACCTGATGCTGTATAACGTCTGTCAGATATAAAAGACCGAAGTCGGCTGATAAAGGAATGGCCCACTATAAGGACTATCTTAGAAGTCAAAGTCTCAGGGCCAGCCTCCGCCATGATAACGCTAATAATGTTATGACAGAAATCCCAGCAAAGTACCGACTCACCGCACGCACGAGCCACAATGAATCCTGTAGACAGGGAAGCACCAGGGAAGCACAGGAAACTCTGTACAAGCTGAAAAACCGCTGAAAAACTCGGTACGAGCCGACAATCGGCGCCCGCGTATGATTCCAGCTAACGATTACTTGTGCCACAAACTTCTGGGATAAACTCAATCCTCGACCGCGTGGTTTTTTTCTGGCGCTGATTGGTCACTTCGGTCGGAAGACGCGCGGATACTGTGTCCCTGTCCGGGCTTAACTAAATCATATTCGGGCGTTCCGTCCGGCCTAAATTCGAATTTATGATTTTCATTCACTTACAGCTAGAGCTACCAGGCTTCCCCTGCCTCTTTGTTAAATATCCAGTCAATGAGCACATTATCACATAATGGGGAGTAGGGACTGAAAGCAGCATTTCAGACATACAGTATACAAATCTGTGTGACACTGTATATACATGTAACTGTTTATTTCTTTCTTTATTGGAAATGCAACAATACAATGACATTGTCTACACTGTGTAAATGTGGGATGACCTTGAGTGTGTCCTTGTTTCAGGACTTTGTTGTAGGTAGCCATGTACTGAGGAAGTTATTCCGACTGAGGAAGAATTTGCCCAAGAACAAGTACAAACTGATAGAAAAGGAAATAGCAGAAAACCCTGACTGGCCTCCTGTTGGTGAAACAACCTATGCCGGGGGAGAGAAATGCCAGGACTCATCACCATCTTGACAGTCATATACTCTTTTGCCATGCATTTAGAAATGTATCAATGCCTAATGTTAATGATACAATCATGTATTATGTACTGCACATTGATCAATTGTCAACTGCACAGACATTACCAAACACATGCCATGTTACTTACATTTGTAGTTTCCCATACATAGCAATGAAGAGCAACCAATCAGACTAATTATAATAATATGAGTAGCTCGCCTCTGCCTTGATTTCAGGCTCAATCTAGCAATCCTTCTATGAGGGATTTGTGAAATATGTAACATTAAGTCAGAATTTGAAAAGACAAGACTGCAAAATATGTACAAAAATGTATTGAGTTCTAAGTGGTTTGAAAAAAAATCTAGTTTTATATTAAGAGCTTGAAAGAGCAAGCTAGACGTCTTGCTCCTTGTGAAATGCCTTCAAGGACTACATGTAGGCATTTCACAAGGAGCAAGACATGTAATTCTGGCATTTCTAATCTGAAACCTAACGTACATGTACAAATCTGTGTGAAGACACATGTAGACTCTTTGATTAAGGAACCCAATGAATCAGGTTTAAACTGGAGATTACTATAGGGTATAAGAGTACATCAATAATGCACATTTTGATTGAAGAGATCTGGAGACAGGTTACTTGCACATGTACATGTCTTTCGTTTAATGCCCAGTATGTCACTCTGTAAAGGATTGTACATGTATAAGCCAGACCAAAATACATGTACCATGGAATGATGATGATGAATGATGAATCAAACATGAAAGCTACAATGTCTGGCACATTTTATCCAGAAAGGGTTTTCCTGAGTATCAGATTCTTTTGTTATATGTGACTAGTGGGTACAGAATGTGGACAGTGTCTAAAATTGTAGTCTCGCCCTACTGCTAGCAAAATTCCTGACACCAAAATGAATGTGTCGTCAGCATGTGCACATTGGACGTTTTTTAAACTCAACATATGTATATAGAATCAGTGTGTACTAAAAAAAGGTTGTGATGTTCAGACACCAAGAGAGAATGAGAGAGAAAGAGAGAAAGAAAGTTGTGATTAAAACATAAACATAACAAGAGTTCCAAGATCTCATACCTTCGCCAAATGATGTTAACCCTTCCGGTTGCCGAATTATGCATTCTTACTCATTGATTTTGCAAATAAGAGCCTCATTTGCATGGATTATATCAGTTGATCATATTCTCCACCTAACAACAGCCTTATCTTAACAAAAAGACTATTCTAGCACATCCTCATACATTATGCAAATGAGGTCATGATTTGAATAATTTATGTTTATTGATGAACTTCCAAATATGGCAAGTATAGAATTCCCAGCAGTTACTTCTATGAAAGTATAGCAATTTTCCATCAATTATGCAAATTATGTATTCATTTATATAATCTGAATGGAAATGATCATCCTCAGATAATTTTCTTGTTCTCAATTACAAGTGTTTCATAGTCCTATTATCGAACGAAGCAGGTTTATAGAATTTCCTCATTAATGATGGAAATTAGCTCCCGATTTGCATAATTGTGATCTGATTATGTCAAGCATCACTTTAGTTACCTACATACCAAAAATCATGACAATCCGTCAACCGGTTCTTGAGTTATCCACCTTCGGAGATTTTTCAAGAAACGCTCCTGCAGGTTCAGAACAAGCCGCTAGGGGGCCCAAACTCATGTCACTTCTTCCTCAGTCCGAGAGCTATCTACCATCTAAAATCTATGACTCTAGCATGTCCAGATAATGAGGTATCAAAACTGGAAGTTCTGCTGCAGTACCAACAAAAGCCGGCAGGGGGCCAAAATCTAATCATTTCTATGAGTTAAATTAAGAAAATTGTGTAAAGTGCCTTTCCCAAGGGCACAAGATCAGTGGCATGTCGGGCATCGAACCTGGGAACTCTTGGCTCCGAGTCAACCACTCTGCTGTTACGCCACACGACCCCACCTGGCTCCTAATGTACATGCATCTCCGTTTCTTTATCCCTGAGTCATATAACGTTCTGTCATTACTACTGCAGGGGGTCTACTGTTATACCCCAATGCTGAGTACTGAGCAGAGAAAGCAGCTACATGTGAATGTGTCATTACCTCCATGAAAAATGGAGGTATTGTTTTTGGGGTGTCTGTCTGTATGTGTGTGTGTGTGTCTGTGTGTTTGTGTTTCCGCAACTTTGTAGTCAGCATAACTTCAGAACGCCTTTATGGATTGTGATGATATTTGGTATGATGGTAAGTCTTGGAAAGACAAAGGTCAAGTATGGGCCTCCTGGTGCATGACCTTGGTACTGCAGCAAAACTTTTTTGTATCTTTTGTCCTGAACAAGCTATGGTCTTGACTTTTTGGTGACAGATAGCTTATCCTGTCAGGAATAAGTGGCGTAAGTTTGGTCCCCCTAGCAGCTTGTTCTGGAACTGCAGGTTAGTTTCTAGTAAAAACTTTCAAAGCCAATAAGTCCAGATTGGAACAACGTATTTTCATCATTTTTGGTGTGTAGGTACCCGAGAGACAGTTGTACATGATTAAATGCAAATTATGCAAATGAGGACTTAATTTGCATAATTAATGAGGAAATTCTATAATTACAGTGTTTCATATAATGGTATTGCTATACATGTAATCTATTTAATCTGTGGCAGGCGTCACATCAACAGATACCAATTATGCAAACGGTGACCTAATTTGCATAATTGATGTGAACATTTTGTGACTCCTTATTGGTGAATGCTGGGAATTTTATACCTGGTGACATGTATAAGTTACTTAAAGGTTAGCACCACTATGCATATATTATGTTAATGTTGAGGTTATTTGCATAATTAATGAGGACATGTTGAAATGAACTATGACAATGCAAGCCCATATTTCATGGAGGTATGAGATCTCAGAACTCTTGTTTATATTTAGTCTTTGCCTTACCAAATGCAAGGCGGGCCGCTGCACATTTATTTATAGAACAGTGCTCTAATCTCTGCCATAGAGCTGATAAAACAAATATAAGTTGACAACTAGTCCACGTAAATTCTTTATTGTTTGCAACATGCTGATAAGGATACAAATGCCCATTAAGCTCTTATCAAGCAGAAGCGGTGAATTAAAAATAACTTCTTCGCGTAAACGTTTACACCTAGAAATCTATAGCGGCCAGTTTACAACATGGCAGACTTGAAAGTCCGGGCCTGCACTGGTATTAACATTCATCAGAACTTTGAAAACAGTTAATTGGTGCCCCAAATACCAAGCAACACCACCTGCGTAAATGTGGTTCAGGGCACACGTACAGATCATACATTACTGTCTGGGTGATACTGCCCAGTTTGACAACTAATCATTCGGACATTTGTATAATATTCGATATAGATGGTGAACATCTATACACATTGTATGCAGTATGATTAGTTGCAGTTACACTGAACCTCTATTGATCGTCCTGTCTATGCCTTACTGAGTACCCAGATGCAATCCCAGTGAAATGCTGCCTTGCGTTATGACGTACATGTAGACAGGGTCCCTGTGTATTCCGACACACGAGGCAGTCGGAGCGTTCCAGCAGCCAGTCTCCTTACATCCTTACGTCATGGTCAGCATCAAATTGTACAGACAGCTTTAGTTTGAGAATCAGCAGATTTTAGCCAGATGTTGGCAACGATATTCAACTGTAGAAGATGAAAAGGCCGACATTCCCAATGATTTGATATAAGTTGTTAATCTATTCAAAATCGAAAGTAATGTGCCACAACCTTTAATATGCACATGTACAAAAGCAAAGGCCCAACTATTAATATTGTTCAGAATTTTTGAACCACTTGGAAGTAGTATAATTATACTAATATCTTTTATTCTGGAGCCATCTCTCAGCAATTGCATCGCTGCAATTCACGGAATATTTCAGGGCCAGTAAGTTCCAGAAAGGTAGTATGTACCGGTGGTATGTTTTATATGCTTTAATACATTATGAGCTTTATATTACTACCTCAACAACAACCCAGTAGTCTACAAACTCTAATAACCTACAAAAGCAGTACAAAAAATCCGTGATTAGCTTGGTAATAACCGTCAGATGTTCATAAACAAGTGTCTGCTTCTCTTGGGTCACCATGAGATGTTGAAAGCCATCAGAATGTCCTTGAATTCTGGAAAACAAAAGTGTTAATCAGCAAAAATGGGCCGGAAATTGGTAGTCATGTAGATGCTTGCACACAAAAAAATTGAAGAAAAATACTTCCCCACCATCAAAGTCCAGCCTGCCATCTCTGTTGACATCACCATCGTCCATGAGCTCCTGCATCTCCTGTTCAGTCAGGGGCTCATCACAGGACAGCAGATACTCCTGAGTGCACAAACATCACCGAGATTTTCAAGGTCCACTTTGGACTCTGCACTTTATGCCATGAGTGAATACTTAGTGGTTGCAGTAGCAAACAACTCTAACCAAGAATTCAGATACTTCATACCTACATGATGAGGTATGACCTGCTGCGTTGCAGCCGACCGATGATGATGACCTTCATGAAAATATTTAGAGCCATTGTAATTTTTTTGTTTATGGGTTTTTCTCATTGATCATGGACATGTGATGATCACATGTAGCACACTATATTCTATATATGGTTTTCTCGATTTAAATTACATATTTTTCTTACGTGAAATTCCTGTCCTTTGGCAAGGTTTGGTTGCAACATTTAATTATTAAGTATGGAAACTACCTCTACATTAACACAATATATGCATAGAAATGTTAACCTTTAACTAACTTACATGTCACAATTATGAAATGCCCATCATTTACCAATAAGGAATCATAGCATTTTTGCATTAATCATCGAAATTAGGTATTTATGTTTATGTTCCATCTAACATAGATTACATGTATCAAAGTTCTAAAATGTACAACAATGGATTCTTTTAATTTCCTAATTAATCATGCAAATTAAGTCCTCGTTTACTGTTGGGCTGCCATTTTGACTCGAGGCCATGGATAAGTTAAGTAAGTCACATCTGATTGTGTACATCTCTGTCTAAGCTACCTACAGGCCACAAAACATGAAAAAATGTTGTTCCTATATTGATTTATACGATTTGGTCGGAAACTCTTTATCTTCCTAAGAGCTACCAACATACCAAATATCATCAAAATCCACAAAGGCCTTCTTAAGTTATGCTGACCCCAAGTATGCGGAAACACATACACGCACCACACACACACACACAACACACACACACAAACACAGACAAACTAAAACAGTTTTCATGTAGGTAGTATAATAACGCATTTTGTAGCTTTATGTATGGAAACAACTTTCTGTTGATTAGTGCCAAACTCTGACATTAAAGTTGAATAAACAACAGAACAACAAAAAGAGACGCATAGAGGACACATCCTAAATACCAGAAGGCCAACGTTAGCGCTATTCCCGCCCTTTTTTGTGCGTCCCTGATCACCTTCCATTCTACCATACTGATGAAACCGTCGTTGTTGTTGTCAATAATGCGGAAAGCTGCTCGGACCTCCTCTTCGTTCAGTTCTTTTTTCTCTACCGCCATGTACAGAACCATCATCTCCAAGAACTCCTCAAAGTCAATAGTGCCGCTGCCTGGAGAGAACACACACAGCGCCGTCATTACATGAAGGACTAGAGGTCGGAGATCTCATGCCTTCGTCAGAGGGACATTGTTCTAGATAAATGAACAGGTGTATTCTTTACTTTTTAAAATAATGAATTTGGTCTAGAGAACAAAAGCATCGCTGTACTCTTTTTTTCTACGGAGCACCCTGAAAGGGTTCGCCACAGATTTACAGACGCGCCGTCACCCGTGTTAGGCCCCCTACGTTATTTGATTTTTGACTGTTACTGGAAAAAGAACTGAAATTCTGCTTACTGTATTATGATCAAAGTGTTACGACAGGAAAGATTCAGAACAGGGTGACTACTACTGTTTAGCGGAGATTTATTGCTGCTTTTATGACGAATACAAGACTTGTTTGTTATTACTATGTTATATTATTCAATTTGTGTCCTACCACATTCTACAGTTAGTATATTCTTGTTTTTCGGCCCTTCATGTATTTTATTGCGCTTTCACATTGAATTTTTAAATTCAATGACGTCCAGTGGAGACCTTAAAAGGTCTCCACTGGACGTCATCCATACAAATGACTTGGTTTGGCCTTAGGGAATGACCTGACGCATGTCCAAACTGCATTGTCCATTGTATTTTAAAACAGCCCCTCAATAGGGTTCACATTCCTCACATCTGGTCCACGTGCCATACATTCCTTTCAAATCGTGCCCGATCACGATTCTCCGAAACTGCATTCATTGTTGTTGGATGAAAACACGCAAGGTAGCGTGTTATTAATGTCAGGGGTCAACGACCTGCTTGCTGATGCCCCCCTCCCAGCGTATCTCGGCCGAGTACCGGCGTGGTCCCACCAGAAAGGTGAAGCTCGTCCTGGAACGGACACATTATTTGACCATTACTACTCTTTAGGAAGTCACTGCCATGTATAATTTGGTATTGCATATAAATAAAGAAATATCCTGGAGAGGATGACCTGAACTGAAAGAAATATCACCCCGAAATATCAAACCATCAATTTGTATATACAAAAGTTATTCTGCTATTAAAACAAGCCACAAACACAAAAGGTGCACTAACGTGACGCACGGACACCCCCCCCCCCACGAAGCCCAAACTTGCACTTGACTTTGGCCTCAACAACGGTAATCTGCCTGCCAAAAATCATGGACGTCGAATCATGCTTTCAAGAGTTAAACGGCTAAACCCACAGTCAACCACAATACGGCGGGATGATTCCATAGTCTATCTGACGAAGACAACTAGAGTTCCTGCTTTCGTCAAGTGTAGATTACAAACTTTTGCACCAAGTCGGCCTTGGTAAGAAACAAACACACTATCGAAGTTCATAGACTTCTTGGTGAATTTCATTGAACCACCTTTTTTAAGGCGCCAGCTTGACTGCCATGTTGCCGGTACATTGTACATTTTGTACATTTTGTACATTCCTTTGGCAGATGTGTCCCGGATTCTTGGACATCTTAGTGTCAACCCCATCAGAGAATATGTTTAACTAATTTCGTATGCTGCAAAAAAGGAGGCCAAAAATTACACCATGTACTCCTAGTCCCAACTGCTTTCGACTACTTAAAAATCATCAACTAACAAATTTTCCCTCAAACTTCGAAGCTCCGCTGCAATACACAAAACAGCCACTAAATGTCATTAACAACCATCCACGTTTTCTCAAGTTATGTTGCAAACAAGTAAAAACCCAAAAATATACGCGACTCTCTGCAGTAACGTAGGAACATGATAGAAAAACCATTTTCAACCTTGAACTTTATTTTCATAACCGCTATACACAACTACAAATTTCATGAGGATACATTCACAAGTTATCCTCCATACCTCCAATCGACAAATGCACAAAAAATCCGGTAAAAAAACGATTAAAAAAGCCAGATGCAACTTGACTTTTTCAACTTGACCTACAATTTAACAACAACCACTGACATGCCAAAAAAAAATCAGCCCACAAATAATCGAGTTATGACGTTGACGCTAATACGGGGACACGCCACAGCCAAAATCTACCGGTTCCATATCCTTCTGTCTGACGAAAGCAACTACATTATAACAACTTTCCTAGAAGATACAGCAAGGTGGTACCACAGTTCTGGAAAGGATGCAAAACTATCATCATCTAACAACCTGGTGGGACGGGGTAAGACTCTCCTTCACACTGTTCTGTATGCCATGGCTGATTTGAGGTATTCTATGTTAAACCCAGTGTCTGAACTGTACATGTACAATATTTCTTCTATGAACGCCGCGGTGCCGACTAAATCCGGCTCCCCATTAAAATGGACCGTTTATTATTGCTCAGGAATGAAATAAGATTTTTTTTATATTATCACTGCTTAGAAGAGTAAATTTTTGACTGGGGGCAACTTTTTTTTCATCTCTGTTCTTTATTGAGTATCGAATACATGTGTACATAGATGATAAACAGTTACATCACATTCATCAATTTCTGTCTGTTTGAACAAATCTTTCACTTAATTATCCTGCCAAATTGTCTGATACCTTTACATTAATGGCAAAAGATACAACTTGAAAGGCATCGTAAACATAGGATAGAATTACAAACATTTTGTCGTTACTTAGTAATATTTGCAATGCGAGAAGTACATGTACATGGATAGTTTCTCTACCTTTAGTGATACATTGGCATATTTCAGAATGGTATAGCACTAACAAGGCTGATTTAGAAACTACAGAAAATATGCACATATCTTTTTCTCACAAATGCACATAGACTCATCAAATGTCATGAATTTCGATATTGCACATAAATACTGTAACTGTAAAGCAGTCTTAAACACTATATCAACTAAGATTCAGTTAAATCTAGAGCTAACTAAAGAAGTCATCAAATGTTTCCCAAACACGGAAATTAATGTCGTCAGAAGGACATATTTTCCACTTCACTTTTACTGAATTCTATTACACTGGACTCCTTTCTCAGCAATTCAGATAATCTTTGAAACGACAAATAAGTATCAAGTAAATATAACGTCAGCTGCATAAAGAGCCCCACTTCCCGCGGTGCTTCTCCAGTTTACCTTTCTTTAAGGCTATGGAATATTCTACATTTTGAAAGAATTTAATATAACGAAGAAAAGAATCAAAGTTTAAAGAACTAGTTTTTCTACATCTAGATATATAAATTTTGGCAAGTAGGGTTATAAGATTTTCAATTGGGGGGGTTCCAAAGTGTAAATCTCCAAAAATAACATTGAATCCATTTAAGATTAAATCTTTAGTTGTTTTATGGTGATACCAAGTTTTAATTTGGTCCCAAAAAGAGATAACGTTTGGACATTCCCAGAAGACATGCAGGTATGTCTCTTCCTCTTCATGGCAGAACGAGCACAAAGGGGTGTCTATACATTTCCAAATATATAGTAGTTTGTTTGTAGGTAGAAATTTATGTAACATTTTATATTGGAAAAACCTAGTGGAAGAATCGATAGTACAATGTATTATAGATATATAAACCTGTTTCCAGGGAATAGGGGTGTCAAAGAGGCACAGCCACTTTAGTTGTACATTATATGAAATATCAATCAAATTATGATGTAACAAGAAAAAATTGTACACATCCTTATTAATCTTAACCTGTTTTAACCAAGAGCTGTTTCGCTGCATTGGTTTACAGACAAAATCTGGCGCATTACCACATAAGATAGATTTCCATTCTTGCGGAATGGCCGAAATCAGCTGCATATATCTAAAATAATCACAAATATTGCCATATTTTATAGAAAATTCTTTAAATGTCATTAAAGTACCTAACTCATTTAATATATCATTTACAAAAACAATATTCCTATTTATGAATGTGCTCATAGAGACAGGTGCTCCATCAATAAGAATATTGTTGTTCATGAATAAAAGTTGTTGTTTAACATCTGCAGCACATGTGGGGGCCTTATATTGATATTTAAACCATGCATCTAATATATCTGATAAGAAGGGGCTTAGTTTAAAATAGTGTATAGAACTTAATTGAAAGAAGGGGAATAGCCTAGATCCCAACAAAGGATGCATTCTAATTAGCCAAGTAGTTGACCAATTTTCATTAAAATAAAGTTTTGGTATCCATGAGGCCTTAATAGTACAGGAAAAAGCATACAAATTTTTGAGATTTAAACCACCATTTTCCACGGAATTGTATAATGTTTTCCTACTAACTCTCTCAGGTCCTCCATTCCAGATGAATAAAAAAACTTTCCTCTCATATTGTTGAAAAAATGACTTGTCTGGGTTTTGGAGAACCTGAAAGAGGTATGTAAATTGCGAGGTAATCAATGAGTTGATAATTGTTACTTTCCCAAATAAAGATAATCCCTTTACTCTCCAAGGGTATAGAAGTCTATCTAATTTAGCTAATCGGGGTTCAAAATTTAATTTAACAATGGTACCTAAATCCTGTGGGATATGAATACCTAAGATTTCAACATTACCATCAACCCACTGAAGGGGGAAGTGGGTAGGTAATCTAAAATTAGTATTTTTCACTGTTCCAATTCTAAGAATTTTACACTTTTCGAAATTCAAGGAGAGACCAGAAATACAAGAAAATTTATCTAAATCATCTAGAAGGGCATAAAATGACGCTAATGTAGGGGCAAAGGGAAAATCCGTGTCATCAGCATATTGTGAAATTTTGGTTGACCTTCCAAAAACGGAGAGGCCAATCAAATCATTATTACAACGTACCATTTCTACTGAAATGATAAAAAGGTAGGGACTAAGGGGACAGCCTTGTCTAACTCCACGATATAATTGGAATGGGTCAGATATATATCCATTGTTTAAAACTGAACTTGTAATATTATTGTATAAAACTTTTACCCAAGATAAAAACTGGGGTCCGAAATTAAAGAAAACGTAATGATTCGAAAATGAAATCCCATCTTAAGGTATCAAAGGCCTTTTTATAATCAGCAATAAAAATAAGTCCTGGTTTCTTTTCTTTTTCGTAATATTCAATCATATCTACTATTCTCCTAACATTTTCACCAATAAATCTCCCCTGAATAAAACCGGTTTGATCTTTGTCAATAATTTTTGAAATAACGGATCTTACCCTTAGGGCAAGACATTTTGAAAGAATTCGGGCATCACAACATAATAACGTTAACGGTCTCCAATTATCTAATATTGTTGGGTCCTTATCTTGGCCATTACCCCCCTGTTTCAATAATAAAGAAATGATACCATGCCTTTGTGTGTTGGGGAGGAAACCTTGAGTCAAAGAATAATTAAAACACTCTAACATAGGGGCTTTAAAGACTGAGAAAAACTGCTTGTACACTTCTACAGGAATGCCATCCAGTCCAGGTGACTTTCCATTTGAGAAGGAGTTGATAGCATTAAGTAGTTCATCTTCTGTGATAAGGCCCTCACACGCCTGCATCTGCTGCTCTAATAGTCTCTTATCATAATCTTCAGGAAAGAAGTCTTGCTAGGGGGTCTTTGAAAGAGTATAAGGAGGAATAAAAGTCAGTTTGTTTTTCTAGAATGTCAGTAGGATTACACGTAAAAACGTTTTCGGAAATTCGTAATTTTTGAATGTTTTTTCGAGTGAAATTTCTATGTATTAAGTTCAAAAAATACTTCGTACACTTATCCCCCAACTCCATCCATTTTGCTCTTGATATTGTTATGAGTCCCCGTAAACGATAATGGTATAATAATTCTAATTCTTTTTGTTTTTGATCAAGATCATCAAGGACTGAGTCTGAGGGAGAAGGTGTGTTGTCAAGCTGGATTTGAAGAGTTTTTATTTCATCGATTAATTTCTTTTCTTTAGACAAATGTTGCTTATTTTTCCAGCTTGAAAATTTAATGCAATGGCCCCGAAAGAAACACTTGGCCGTTTCCCAAACTTGGTTAGGATTTTTAATTGCATAATGCAAACTGTTGATTTTCAATATAAAAAAAAACGTTCATGCCCCGCATTCCAATGCTGGAG